AAAGAAAGAACATCTGGGGCCAGGCACAGTGGCTCACATCTATAATCCCAGCACTTTGGGAAGTGGAGGTGAGAGATTTCCCAGAGCTCAGGGGTTCAAGACCAACTTAGACAACTTGTCAAGACCTCATCTCTACAATAAATAAAAAAATTAGTCAGGTATGGTGGCATTTACCTGAAGTTCCAGATACTTGGAAAGCTGAAGTAGAAAGATTGCCAGAGCTCAGCAGTTTGAGAATGCGGTAGCCATTAGCATGCCACTGCACTCCAGCCTGGGTGACATAGTAAAACCCCCATCTCCATGTAAAATTTTTAAAAAATTAGCTGGGTGTGGTGGCACATGCCTGTGGTCCCAGCAACTCAGGAAACTGAGGCAGGAGGATCACCTTAGCCCAGGATTTCAAGGCTGTGGTGAGCTACAATAACGCTTCTGCACTCCAGATCCTGTCTCTTAAAAATAATCATAATGAATAATTAAAAAAAGAAAGAATATCTGGTTGGCATTTATCTAATAGACACATCATTTTAACTATTTGGAAAAGGGTCTTTTCTTTTCTTTTCTTTTTTAATTGGAGTCTTACTATGTTGCCCAGACTAGAGAACAGTGACACACTCACGGCCACCACAGTCTCAACCTGCTGGGCTCAGGTGATCCTTCTCCCTCAACCTTTCAAGTAGCTGGAACTACAGGCATGTGCCACCATGCCCAGCTAATTTTTTTATTTACAGTAGAGACAAGGTCTCGTCAGACTGCCCGGGTTGGTCTCAAACCCCTGAGCTCAGGTAATCCTCTCGCCTCCAGAAAAGAATTTTAAATTGTTCTATTCTGTGTTATAGACCTCCCACCCATCCACGATATAGTCTACTTGGAAAAATAAGCTTTCTCTCCTTCCACCCATCATCCCACAGACTGTACAGTCTAGAGGAGATGCAAATATTTTGCGAATTGAGTTCATGTAGGGCACTGTAGTTGTCCTGAGACGAAAAAATCATGGAACTCAGTCTGCAGAGAACATGTCCTCTGGGAAGCCAAATGGGATGTGTAAAAGAGTATCTGGAATACCAGCATCACGGGATGAATGCCACAGGGAGGAACACACAGAAGGGAGCAGGTGCATCGACAGACGTTAGGTAGATAGACGGATGGGTAGATAGATTGACAAGAGATAGATGGATAGACAGAGGTAGATAGAGATGACAGAATAGATTAGATAGGAGATGGATGGATGGATGGATAGATAGAGATAGATAGATAGATAGATAGATAGATAGATAGATAGATAGATGATAGATAGATAGATAGGAGATAGGTGGATAGATATAGAAGAGGTCTCAAGTGGCCCAGGCTGGTCTCAAACCTGTGGGCTCAGGCAGTCCTCTCACCTCGGCCTCCCAAAGTGCTGAGATTATAGGCATGCGTCACCACGCCCGGCCTCGATAGCTAGATGGATAGATAGATGAAGGTGATAGACTAGATAGATAGATAGATTAGATAGATAGATAGATGAGAGAGATGATAGATGCACACAGACAAAGACAAACTTTGACTTTTTTCACGTCTTTGTTTTTAATTTAGATTACAAAAATTACCTGGCTTTCCTCAGCCCTCGCCCTCTCGTCAGAGGGAATTCCAGCTGCTATGGAGTGCTGCCGTCGGAGGACCCCGTCTACAACTGGAGAACCGTGATAGTAAGTCCATGGACCAGAGCCCATCCCTGGGTCACAGACACATTTCCTGTGAGCCAGCCTCCTGCTGGGCATGTGCTAGCGCTGACACCAGCTCAAAGACAGCGCTGACTGTGAACACGCTTCTAAGGACCTTCCCTTTGGGTCTGAACTTGATGGTAGGTGATGCCGTCAGGAAGGAAACCAGCCCTTCATAACTGCCTAGGTAGCCATGTCTGAATGGCGTCTGTAAAGAGGAGGCGTTTCCGGGATTTCACATCTCTGTACTTCCTAGTCCATGTGGGAAATTGCAAAGAAGTTAGAGTTCCCCTCAAGGCCATGGGCAAAGGCCCAAACCTCCTCTCCCTTGGCTTTTCCCACAGTCTTGTATAACTGCGTGGTCTCCCTCCCAAGCTCAGAATCCGTTTCCTGTCTCGGACTCATTTATATTCTAGTAGCCCTGCAAAAGTGGGCATTCCTGCCATCCTCAGTGTTCTGTCACGTTGTTTCCTTCCTGCATCCATTTTGCCACGCCGTCTTCATGGGAGGGGCACAAATGTCAAATGGTGTTTATCCTTCTCCACTCATCACCTCCAGTCGCTGTGCCAAATGTCCTTTCCCTGTGCCTGTCAACTGTTTCCTCGGGCCTTTTCCACAAGACACTTCTTTGAAGAGGGTGCTTTGGTCCCAGCTCCACTCAGGGCTGCCAGGTAAAACGCAAGGTGCCCATTATTTTTCCTTCTGGAATCTGGCAGCCCCTCCTTCTTCCTACTTCAACTCCCCTTTCTGGCGTGCACCTCACGGGCTCTTCTGGCTGGGGACCACCTGCTGGTCGACCAGCCCTCTTGTGTGGGGCGTGGTGACAAGGCTGGAGCCCTGATCCTTCCACTGTGGCTAGTAGACTCAGAGGCCACATACCCTTGTCATCTGTCAATCACAGCAGCGTAGGCAGCTTCCTCCTGCCCAAATCCCCCACCCC